ATCATCTATACGAGGCATTGGGTACTTGTTCTTAATAGTTACGCGGTTCAATTTTTGGTAATCTATACAAAGTTACAACGCTCCATCTTTCTTTTTAGCAAAGAGAGCCAGAGTTCCCCAAGGCATCGTACTAGGGCGAATAAAACCCTTATCTAATAACTCCTGAAGTTGAATCTTCAACTCACTCAACTTGGTAGGTGCAAACCTATACGGTGCCATAGAAACCGATGCCGTGCCAGACACTAAATCAATAGAGAACTTGATCTCTTGGTGAGGTGGTAAACTAGTAAGCTCCTCGGGAAAGGTATACGGGTATTCTCAAACTACCCTTGTCAACTCCACCCGGACTTCATCACACTCACCACTCAAAAAGCTAGCAAGAAGGTAACTAAGTTCACTCCGCCCACGCGGATCATATGCCGGTGATAAGACTTTATCCACCCGGTCTCCCAAGAAGTAAAAGCAATCACCGCTCAAGGTACATATAGTAACCCTCTGACGATAGTAATCTATAATAGCTCGGTATGACAATAACCTGTCTATACCCAAAATAACATCAAAACTAGACATATCAAGCAATACGAATGCAAAAGGTAATTGGCGACCGACAACCACGATGTCACAATCCCAACACCCCTGCTTCAAAATAACCTCACCACCAATAGGTGACTCTACACAGATAGAAGATGCTAATTGAGCCAACTTTAACCCCAAAACTGATGCAAATGTAGACAAGATAAAAGAATGGGATGCACCCGTATCAATCAATACATTAGTAACTGAATTACAAAACAAGAAGGTACCTCTCACTACAGAAGGAGTAGATACAAGATTTGGCGCCGCAACAGCATACACATGCCCAGTAAGTGTCTGCTCGACCTGCTCACCCCTTAGAGCATAAGCTTGATGCACTGACTGAGCTGAAGAGGCTCCCTGATTGGCCCTCAAGGCCTGTGCTCACTGTGCAGGCTGATGGCTTTGTGTATGCCTCGAGCCAAACACACCAAATGTGCCACCCAACTGAGGAAAAAATCTCTTCATGTGCCCTACCTGCCCGCACTGATAACAAGTGAGAGGTTGCCCTTTCCCCTAACTCTGGCTCTGAAAATGAGCCAATAATGGTGCAGACCGTTGCCCTCATCTTCTTTGCGGGCAAGGTGGAGACTTGTGGCCCAGCTAACTGCACTTAAAACAAGTAAAATCTCCTCCCAAAACCCAAACTCGGTACTAAAAAAATGGACCTCGACTAAGCTCCCTGGGACAACTAGGGATTAGAACCCCTCTGCCTCTTGTTGTCTCCCTAATTATCTTGACTTCTCCTAGAGCCCTTAATTCTCTCCTTCTCCATCTATATGATGGTCTCAAGATGGGCCACCGTTGTCTCCACAAGACACCCATAGTCTCTAATCATGGACCTGGCCACTCAGAAAATGAGTCTGGTCCTCAACCTCTTCTCAAACTCCAGACAATAGCGTTCCTCAGTCGCCACAAGCTCTGGTGCAAACCTCAACAAATTGGTGAATGTGGCCTCAAACTCAGCCACTGGTGTGTTTAACTACACCAATTTAGAGAACTGGTGTCTCAACTTCTCCCGAACTATAGGAGGCAAAAACTTGTCTTGGAAGGTGCTGACGAATGCCTCCCAAGTTACCCTAATGCGCCCACGCGCATATTTTCACCATTGACCCGCATCTCTTTTTAGCTGGAAAGATGCCAAGGTCACCTTCAACTAGTCATCTTCGATGCCAAGCATCTCGAATGTCTTCACTATTTGCTCTAGCCATTCATTTTCCTTTAATGGCTCCTTGGAATCACCCAAAAACTCGTTTGGATTTGACCGGAAAAACTCTTTCTTCAAGAAAGATGGCCATGCTTCAACTACTTAGGCCTGAACTTGATTCTCAGCATTGAGAATGTCCATAGATTCCTGCAATGCTCCGACCATTTCGCAGGCTAAGGCACTCATGGCCTACTGACCCACTGGTTCGGCGACATTGGCCTAACCAATCCATTTTTCCTGTGCCGGAATATCATCTAGTAGAGGCAACTCATGCCTTCTAGGCCTACCACGCCTACCACCCACACGTCCACGTCCTAACATCCTAATAAAGGTAACAAAAGGTATTAGCACATTTATATATGTGCCGAAACTAACTCACTCATGTCCTAATGCGATGGACAACAGTAATTCACTCCACATAAGCACGTAACCATGCAAAGACATACGAATTTCCTTCCTAAATAACGATCGTCCTGTGGTGTTGCTAGAGTTCCAATTAGAAATAGCAGTGATCAGGTGCTCTTCTAATAGGACTTATAGAAACCCGTAGACCCAATCAATATCTTAGGAACTAAATCTCGTACCCATATAATCATATAAGTATGTTATCACATAAGCCTACAATACATACTAATGTCTCAGTTAAGTGAGACAAACCCATTGTGGTAATAACAACTTCCCACGCACCTAAAGTATTCAAACACGGTACACACTGATACCAAGTTGTAACACCCCCAAAATAATACAATAAATTCAACCCATAAGCGGAAAATAATAAAAATAATATACTTTCATTCATTAGAGTTTGTATACAAAAGATAACACATGTGATGTACATTCACAAATTGTTCATCCTAAATCTACAACATGTGTTGCAATGATAAAGAACTAAAAACTAAACAGATAATCATATGCCCTATAGGCTTACATCTTTCCAAGTCATTGCTTGGTTACAACAAAAGTGAGCCTAGCTCAATACAATTAAAGCCCTTGGGTATACAAAAAGAATACAACAAAAGAAAGAAGCTCTTCCTCCAAAAAGTCTCTCTAAGTTATTGCTTTGGCGGAAGCATATCACCAATACCTGAAAATGGTTTTTTCCAAATAGGGTGAGCCAAAGCCCAGTTGAAACAATCTCACACAATATATGAATTTTAACAAAGGTATAAGTACAATGTGCATATGCAATGCCTATGACAAAACATCCATACCCTACAAGATCATAAAGTACCAAATTTTATATCTCCATCCATTTTCCTCCAATTCATTTCAAGTTAATTCATTTTATCTCAATTCATGAGCTAATTTCATTATCTTCTAGACAACCCAACTAAGATTACAACTCCAGTGGTTCTCAAATCAGCACAGCTACCATACAAACACTTTAAATTACCTTTTTATGAAAATTTCATCCGCAGGAATTGGCACCCATGTATACGCGTGGTTTCGAGACTTTCACCCTAGACACTCCGGCAAACTTAATTTCAATGGAGTCCATCCCCTATCTCCTCCCAAAACATGAACTACATCTCCTTTCTCCTCTCAAACATCATACATATATAATGTATTTAAAACATAGTTATATTCAATGATAACCAACAAAAGATTAGTTTCAATTCACCTAACCCTCATGCACTTTCTACAACAATCATAACTATCCTCCACCGATAGCCCAATATAGATATTTCTAAACAAATATTCAATCTCAAGACAGATAATTCATTCAAATTTCCAAAGGTGTGAGGTAATACATATTCAACTCTACCATATATATCAACATCTATCCAACTTTTCCATTTACAATACCAATTTCTTTTATTCATACAAAATAAATATTCGAAACGTTTTAAAGCAAACTCCCATCTTTCCAAATATCAACCCAAATGTCAAAATCAACTATTTAGTCACACTATAACCTCATATTCAACCCCATAACCATTTATAACTCATTTGCTTAGAAACCCTTCTTTTGATTTTAAATCCAAAGCCTAGGTTTGTCCATAATACTCCCAAATCCCACCATTGTTGCACAATAATAAATAACTAAGCTAACAACCATATGAAAGTGTAGAAAATCCTTACCTCAAAGAGAGAAAATGAGCTAAGCAAGGGTAAAACTTCGAAGATGTCCCAACCCAACTCTATTTAGACCAAAATGGAGATCTTGAGATATTCTACATTTTTATCAAATGGATTAGGGTGGAGAAATCACTAGATGTAGATGAAAAAATAGAGAGAATGTAGGTTTTAAAGAGAGAGGGTCTCAATTTAATGATTTGGAGAGGAATAGATCTGAAAAAGTGATGTAAAAAGTCATTTTCGCGATCTCATATATGCACAGTCCGCTCGAGTGCAAGAAGTGACGCTCGAGCGCTAGACACAATAAGTTGTTCCGCTCGAGCGCCAAGAAACAATAAAAAAGACGCTCGCTGCTCGAGCATAAGAAGTGATGCTCGAGCGTATAAAACACACATCTAGTTGTTTTGCAGATAACAGACCAATGCTCAAGCGCAATAAAGGCCGCTCGAGCGCCCACCTGCTCAAGCGTAGGAAACGCCGCTCGAGCGTAGAAAACACTCCCCTAGTAGTTTTGCTGACCTGCAAAATACTGAGAATTCGCAAAGCCGCTTGAGCGCAATAAGTGCTGCTTGAGTAGAAGACCAAAAATCTGGGCAACAGAAGGTTTGCAAACCAACCTATTCAAAACACGCACGATACAACCAAATAGCCAAACTCAAATAAGAATAATGGGGAAAACAACAATGAACAACATTCGAAATCATAAGCCCGAGCCCGAAATACAACAAGTGTTGGGCCAAAACCGGAATCGTTATACTATCCACTGCTGGAAATTAGACTTTTAGTGGCATTTAAAAAACGCCGCTATATCTATCAAAAACGCCGCTAATTCTTTTTGTGACGTTTTCTACCAAACGCCGAAGATGCGGCCGTCGCTGTAGCTTTATGACGTTTTTAAAGCGTCGCTATATTAGTATAGACGGCGTTTTTTAAAACGCCACTAAATGTACTACATAACGGTACAATGACGTCATGCCATATTTAGCGACGTTTTAAAAACGTCGTGATAACTCTTTTCTATTTTAAAAATAAAACCGTTAGCACTATTATAGTTTAATTTTTTTATTTTTTAAATTGTGCTAATTCTTTGAGATTTAACCAAAAAAAATACCTGTAAAGCTAAAAAAATAGGAATAATATGGATAAAAAAGTCTGCTGCTATTTCAATATATTGAGTAAATTTAGTCAAACTTTACATAATTATTCTCAACCAAAATCAAGCAACAAACACAACCAAAGGAAAAAATATTTTATCACATATTGCAAACCTATCAAAGACAAATTCAAAAAGACAAGCAAAAAATTATGATTTCAACAAAAGTTTCACATCAATTTTCTACAATCTTGGTTAGCACAATAATAAGCAAATAAAAATGATGAAATGCTTGGGAGTTCACAAAGGAAATATTATCCAACAGGCCCAACTTCACAAAGGAAATATCATCCAAAAGATCTAGGTTGCTTGGGAGTTCTATGAGCACTCCTCCACAGCTGAAAATAAAGAAACAAAGAAAAAAGTCAGCAGGTACACTCTGCATCATTGGCATTAATAAATAGAAAACTGGAAAACAAATTCTTTATCAATCAAAAGAAAAACAATACAAATATGCCAAAATGAAAAATGGTTAGACCACTAAAAAAGAGCAAAGAAGCTAAAAACAAACCAAATCCATCAACACTCTGCAAAAATCCTAAACCTACGAACCATTGTACGTGATAATCTAAACCAAGAATTACACGACCAATGTATATGACATCTATATATGTATACAGAAGTGTTTTGGTTAGATTGAATTTGTGGTTTAGTAAAAGCAAGGCCTTGGGCAACCAACATGCCCTTGCCTAGGCTAGACATGGTATTTTAAATATCATGCTCAATTAGCTGTTGAATCTTAAATAGCTAGTTGATAACTTCAAATTCCAAAGAATAACAACCTAAATTATATTCTAGCATGATTACCAAAGGGGCTATTGAGCATTGACGTAAAATAAAGGCGTATCTAACTGGAGATGTATCTTGTCTATTGTGGACAGGGATAGTCATGTCTTAATCATTATATATAGGTAATAGAACTCAGTTAATGGATAAAGGTGCACCATCCATCAGCATCAAAATGTCCACACATTGGAAATCTAGGATCAAATGCCATTTTAACAATTAGGAAATCAAAATGTCCTGAAATAAGAATCTATTGTAAATAATTGCAAAGTCCTGAAGTAGAAAAGATGACACATTGAATTTTGCATATAAGGACAACTTACCTGAAGCGCTGCTGAAGTAGAAAGTCTCTTAGGAGGCATATGGAAAGACAAAACATGCAAGAATGACACTGACAAAAATTAACTTAACAGACAGGGCAAACCAAAAAGATTGTCAAACACCTGTAATTGGTGTTTTGGGGAGGGGACAATCAGTGGATTTATCTACTATTTGGTTCTTTTACCCTTCAGTCCCATCCCCAGGTTCAATAACTGAATGATTGCTACATTTTTGAATGAGGGATTCCTGGGATGCCTATGACATACTTCCCTATTAGATACTATGACAATTCAGTAAACAAGCAACATTTCAAAGTCAAAACAAACCAAACTATGTCTTGTGTCCCAATAAAATGAGGTCAGACACATGAATGCTTTTCAATTATACTTTTGTGAGCTTCCACTGCTTGTATTTTATGTGACAAAGCTTATTAGATGGGGCTAAACCTATAGGACACATTTTTTAGTTCTGAAGTCATGTTCTATTGCCACTAAAGGATTAAAAAAACTATCAAGTTAAAATAGAAATACACTTAAATACATGGACACTATTGGCTTAAGGGGGCTAGATCCATGAAAGGGAAGTGACTTCTACGTATTACTCTCTAGAGATTTTAGTTGCTCTGAGGCAATACTTGAACAGTTCTAAATGACAACATCATGTATCTTTGTAAGAACAGAGCAATACATCCTTTCTCGAATTCATTTTCTAGCAAGAGGCTTCAGTCAACCATTCTTTAACCTTGCAAGAACTAACCATAAAAAGGCCTCAAATATACTGATTTGCAAAGTAACAAACCTTCATACTTAAAAAGACCAAAAATTAATTTAACAGTCACTTAAGAGTAGACACTTCGAAAATAATTTAACCCTTCTCCATGAGGTAGTGGTGTTGTCCAGGAATAAGAGTCCACTTAGAAAAGGAAAAAATTGACGTTACTTACCATAGAGAATATCATGAAGAGATCCATTCGAAGCATACTCACTATGTTACATGGACTCTGGTATGAATGTCGGGTGCCGGTGCGTATCCAAGCGTCAGACCTTCATAAATTTAAATCTTAAGATCTTGGAGTATGTATCCAAAATTGGATATGGGTACGGGGACACGTCATATGCACATATATATTGCATATTATATAATATTCTCGAATGAGATGTTTTAAATTATATAGAAATATATTAGAAATTAAATATGATATAGAAAAAATATGAAATTTCTATATCTAATACATCTAGGAACCTAAAAATATTACTTTACTAAAAAATACGAGTTTCTTCTTCTTCATGTATTGTCACAAATTAAAGATCTGAGTGTCTAAATTGGGTACAAGCATCGGACACATATCTCACACCCTTACCCTTGTCATATTCGGTGGACACAGGTACTCTGGGGGAAATAGAAGAGTCCGTGTAACACAGCATACTCATATGCAAGGACTCAGAGACCGCCATCAACAGAATAACCAAGAAGCTCAATAACATTTTCATGTTTCAGTCTTGATACCATTGAAACTTGTTAAGTCATAAAGAAACTGATAAAAATTTTGTACCAAAGTTGTCTGTTATTTCCTTCAATTCATCCACTGGGATGGAGGGGACAGCAATAGGTTGAACATCTACAGTTTTTGTGTCCTTCGATGCAGCTTCAGCAGCATGATAACCTCCATTGTTTCCTAATGATAAATTTCCGTAATGATAAATTTCCGTCGTGTTAGTTTGGAAGAAATCAAACGCCTTAGAAAGTATAAAACGAAAGCGCATGATGCTAATATGTAAGACTTACAATCGCACAAGATAGATCCAAGCAACTGAATAAAAAGTGAGCAAGGAAACTAAGCACACAAGTAAACCAAGCAAAGATAGATGTACAAACTGGCCAACATGAGATATCACCCTGAAAATGTTAAGGTCTATGCCAAGGTTAGGAAACACAAATGAAATCGAAGATATGTTAATCTGTCTGATTTCATGCTTAAAGCATGGAATACAAACTTTGAAATTCAACGCGAACAAATAAATTTATATGCCCTTCACCACATTAATCCAACAAAGATGAAAAGCCTTCATTACCATTTCAAATAATGAAAGAGAAAAAATTGCAAGTTTTCTAAATACTACAACCTAAGCACAGACAATTTACCTGCTGTATTTGTCATGAATGGTCCATTATCAGCAGCCTTGTGCATATCATCTTCCATGCAACAGCTGAAGCAGCTCATGATTGTTTTCTTTAATGAACAAGCTGGATGTGCCAAAAATTTCCTTCAGCAAACAAACTCACAAATAGATCCTTTTTTTATAAAGAAAAATAATAATTAGAAAGCTGAAAGGATTTTAGAACAAGAAAAATAAGGGAACCACACCTCAAAGCACTGTTAGAGTGCAACCCAAATATCTAATGACCTTGATATTATTGTTCTTGTTTATTTAAATTTATTTTTTTACAAGAAAATCTGGATCATATACATATGACAATGATCGTCACTGAAGAACAAACAATAAAACTATTTAAATAAATCTTCTTAGCTACCTATTTGAAGAGGAAACACAAAGAGTGAGAGAAAATACATAAATCTTCTTAGCTACCTATTTGTAGAACAAACAATAAAACTATTTAAATAAAATACAGTTACAGATCAAAACCATTGAAGCTGACAAACTGAGATAACTAAAACAAATAAAAGAGCTATAGATCCAATACCTAAGAAAAACAAAAACGGCATTAAACATATTCCTTAGGGGATGCTTCCGCCATCCCTCTTTCTCTTTGCCCATATTTATCCATCCCTTGTGCCAAACATAACTGTGTTGCAAAATACTTACTTTCATTTGAATAAGTTCTTCAAGCTCATTCTTCAATCTTAGATATGTATTTGCCAAGGAAGGTTTCATGAAAAACTCCAAGTATCCTCCCAACATTTTCAAGTGTCCATCCTATGCAAAAGCAGGAAATGATCCCAGTAAAATATATGGCACAATAAAATGAAAGAAAATTAATTATCATGGATATATTTTGCAAGAACCGATATTGCTGATAGTATCGACTACAGATGGAAAAAGAAACTTACCAGGCCGCCCTTAGAAATCTTTCCTCCAAATAAGAGAAGCACGGAATCAGATACCGCAATTGAATCCCGGAGAAATACTGAATTCACTTTAACCTTGTCATTGAAAACTAGCCAAGGGTATGGAATTTTGGGTTCCTGGGCGTTCACAGAATTCTGGGAGAAAGAAAAAGATAATGCTATCCACATTAGAACTCAAAAATAGAATACCTGAATCTGATGATTGTTTTAATATTGTTTTAATATTAAAACATGTTTATGGATGATGCCTTGCTGAACACCATACCAAAAAAGATGAGAAACTTACTGAGTACAGAAGTACCTGACCATCCTCCATTGTTTTCAATGATATAGACTTCTCTTTGTTCTGTAATGATAAATACCAATCAGTTCTAGCTAGTTAATTGACATATTAAGAGAACACTATTTAGATGGAACTCCAGGGACACTTAATTGACCAAAGCAAAAACTTTTAACAAAAAAAGAAAAAAAAAGAACTGTTTGAAGAATGAAAATAAAAGCTAGAATGGAAACTAACAGTTTTGAAACCATGGCCCCTGCATGCATCATCAATGTATCGAAAAATATAAGCTCACAAATGCTGATTACAAAATAAAAAAAATAAATTAAAGAGAGAGACAAAACTGAATTGCAGAATTTAGCAAAAAGACACCACACAACAAAGTTTTTGCATGCATTTGGTCCATGGGAGGCAAGAATTTCTATAACCAAATTGAAAAATGTTTCCATTTAGTGGAACCATTTTCAAGAGCCTTCTATTGGTGAAGGCTTATGTAAACTATTAAGAGACAGCTTAAGCTTCTAGAGAGAAACTATTAAGAATTTCTTATAACCTTCTACGCATTTCTGTAGATGACAAGTAATCAGAAAACAAATACATATCACAACAAGGTGCTTCATTGGGAAAGCATTGCTTCCACAAAAATAAAAAAGTATGTTAATTGTTTAATACATTTTATCTTTATAAAAAGCAACATAAACATTTCCTTAAACCAAAATAATAATATGTATGTGCTCATCTTAACAACCTGCCCACGAACAAAATAAGCTAGTTCAGTTCCATCAGGCAGTGCATCATCCCGAAATACCAACTTGTGCAACCGCAGATCTCTTGAGAAAAAGACAAAAATCAAGTATTTAGTCCACTAAATCAGCCAACTTAATCAATCAAACCAGAAAAGATGATGAAGATACATCCACCCATGACACAACTTAACAACTTCAAGAACATATACTAACTTGCAAGTTAACCTCCCCCAAGTCTTGCTCCATGATGAACTAGAGGAGACACTGTCAGATGACTTTGGAATGGAAATAATTGTTGGTGACCTGAAATTGTCAAGGCAAAATATATCAGAATCAAATGTATATATTGCTCAATAAAAGAAAATTATGTACTATGTTTTATTCTGCAAAACAAATGGGAAAAACTCTAATTTAAATGCTAGCAAACACATGCACATGCAAAAGCACAAACTATTAAAGAGTGACTATATTTACTATTTAGTATTTACCAGCAACAAAGAACTCAAAATCAGTGGTTTATATTTCAATTATACTTGTTGAACCACTGATTGCTACCAAAGCAGGGCTTACTCACTCCATCAAAACAACAGTGGACATCATATGTAACAGTTTGACAAAATGATGGCCAGGGCAACATCAAATCTAGTGCTAGATGTTCATTTATGAGCAATGATCACCGTATCACCTGATGATTGTGTGTATGACTAGTTTAGTCCCCATTGGATATGGGTCTGGAAGGGATAAATTGAGTACTAACCTAACCTTTCTCATAATTTGCACAAATTAGTTGCCCTCAAGTTTGAACCCACAGCCTCGAGGTTAATAATTATTGAATATCTATTTGATCTGGATACAATCAGCTAAGCCAAACTGCCACTAAACCCATTGACTAATGACACTATTGAAACAAGGGTAATGGCTGGCATCCTTCAGTAACAGTAGCAAGAATTTTAAATAAAGTAGTCAGCCTCATATTGCGAACTAGAGGAACAACTCATCAAATGAAGTAGGTCGGTAACACGACATGTAATTTCATCAGCGAATTAGAAAGAATATAAGAAAATACTATCTCCACATGTAACCCAATATTTTTTAAATTTATTTATTTATTTATTTTGATAAATAAGCAACTTTATTGAGAGCGCATCAAGACGATGCAAAAGAATACAAAAAGACAGGAGATAGCACCGATAGTAATGATGTATTATACTCAACACTATCTGTATACACAGATCTCAATTCACAGCAAATGAAGCAGAATGGCATAGCATCCATGCTCGAAACGACTGAACAAAGGTTTTCCCTGTACAAGACTGTACAAAGAATATAGTATCAATGATAAACTTCAGCAAAAGTTTAAAGAAATGATTTAGGAAGATTTTCCTCTATTTATAAGTTAAAAAATTCAAAGAACAATCCTGAATACATGTTTACAAGTAATGACATTAAATATATAGCAAAAATACAATTGCAAAAGCTAAATATACCAATCTTCTTTGACAAATGTATAAGTATCTTCAATCTACCAGAAAATACCACTACAAAAAATAAACAAATAAACAAAATAAAAAACCACAGCAAATCACCATCTAACCAGCAATCGAATGCAAAGATGGGAGTTAAAGCTCTACAATCTTGTGCTAATAGACGATAAAAGCCACAAACCCCCAATTTTTGTCACAAAATTTGTCAGCAAAACCAAAATCATTCTGAGAGAGAGATTGAGAGATCGAGAGAGAGGGAGATAGAGACAGAGACAGAGATCGAAAGAGAGAAGAATCGACAAAACTGAGATTGGATTGAAATCAAAATCGTGCAGATGGTTAGTAGACGATGCAGAAGCAGAGACAGATGGCAGTGGCGATGGCGGTGGAGCTTCGAAATCAAAATCACTCTGAGATTGGATCAACCAAATGATAAATCACCAAGCTGAAGAAGGTTGAATCGAGTTGAAGGGTTTAGAGAGAGAGAGTGAGAGATTTGAGGGATCGGTTTCTCTGAGACTCTAGGGTTTCTCAGATTCAAATAAGTGGGTGAGAGATTTGAGGGTTAGAAGAGAGAGAAAGAGAGAAACACTGTTAACACATTTGAAGGCGCTTTTCAAACGACTTCATTACTTAAATGGAACCGTTTTAATTAAAATAAAATGTGATGTTTATAAAACGCCGTTAAATATTAAAAATAATGACGTTTTAAAAAACGCCATTAAATAAATGCCGTTGTGCGGGGAGCAAATATTCAGGCAAACCCGTACTCCCTTCTTCCAAGCTCCGCTTCTATCCGATCACCTGCGTACACAAAGGCGGTGAGCTACCCGGCGGTGTGTGGCTGGAAAACCCCTCCGACGGTAAAGTTAGAACACACACCAGGGGATAGACAGAGAGAAGGGAGAGAATTAAGTGTTTATGTTTCTCTTACCAAATGTTCATCTGCCTAGCATGGGGGGCGCAGACTTACTTATATACCTTCTGCGCGCCAAATCCACTCCCATTCGTCTCTCGACACGTGGTGCTACTATCCCAATTGTCAGCACAAATCTTGCTGAACATCACCTAACCCGACTGCTAGCCCACTCTACTGGGAGCTCGGCAGCCGGGCTGCATCATCTCGGCTGCCAATGGCCATACTCCACTTTAAACCCAAGCGCACTTGACGGCGTAATGCTCCTCCAACCGGGCTCATTTCTAGTCGTGCTCGACTGCATTCCAACGAAGCCGAGATGGAGATTGATCACCTTGGTCGTGCCGGGCTGAGGGTGCGTGTATTACAACCGAGCAACGCGCGAGCTGTGGGGCCCTTACCTGATTGAACCTTAACCTGCCCGGTCTCCGTGCCAACGAAATCAGGCAGCTCAGTTCCACAAGGCCTTTGCCATTACCGAGCAAGATCACGGCCCAATCTCAGAGCCAAATACCTCAGCCCAACCTCGTTCGGCCCAATCTATCCGGCTAATTCCACGGCCCAATCTCAGATCATTAATCTCCCTCTCAATTGCCCCTTAATTCCGTCCGCTGAAGCGTGACTGAGATTACCTATTCTGACTGGGGTATCACCTCCTCGGTCCTCAATTTACTAATCGGCAACTGGGCTAGTTCGACATGCATGAATTCAAACTTGCCCGGTCTAACCTTTCTGGCCTTCCTGTCTCTTCGGCTTGCTCAGTCGACGCCTCACCTGACCTTCCTGTCTCTTTGGCTTGCTCGGTCGACGCCTCACCTGACCTTCTTGCCTCTTCAATTCTGACGCTGTCATCAATGGGACACGTGGAGTTCTCCCGTTGGTCCTCGAGCAGCCAACTAGCCGTCGCATGAAATTCGAATTTGGGCGGCAATTAGGGCTATATACGTGCCCCGTCTCTCTCTGTTTCATTCTCACTGACCATCCTCCGTCTCAAGAATCCCAGAGCTGCTGCCCTTCTTCTCTCGCCATTCTTGAGCTCGTGCTCGAAGGAAAAGTCACTGCCCTTCACTGGTAAGTCCTTCAACTCCTCTTTTGTTGCTATCTTCTTTAATATTTCACACATTAGGGCACTAAAACATAGTTTCTAGGGCAATAGTCTTAAGAACCAACCCAAACCTCAAATTGTGAATGGTGTTCTTCATTTTTCCTGAAGAACACTGAAAATCTGGGGCGGACCGGGCTCCAGGTCTCCATTTGATCCAAAAGCCCAATCTGACCGAGCAAATAACCTGTTTGTCCCAACCTTAGTGGAAACCAGGGTAAGCAAAGGGTCTAGTCGATCAACTGGGCTAATATCTGGTCCGCTTGAACGACTGGGCTCCTTGGCTAACTTTCACAACCGAGGTGGTTTGGCACAATCAATGACCGAGCTAAAGTCAAGCTCGTTTCGCGCAACCGCGATTCCTCTTACACTTGACAACCTTTTCCTACAGAGTCCAAGGGGACCCCTGACCATTTCTGAGGCTCTCAAAGACCGAGCAGCCAACAATCACCAGTCAGTGCCAAACCTCCTCAGTCGAGCTAATTTAGCCGGTCGTTCATGGGGAAATTTTGATTTCTCGTAGATACTCCGGCTGCCCTAGCTGCGTTCAGGGAGGAGTACGACATCCCAGCCGATGTCCACCTTGAGCTTGCAGAAATTGAGACAACGCCTTGGGGCAGAGAGGAGTGCCCCTTCACCGTGCTATCGATTGTTGAAGGAGGCCTTCATTTCCCACTCAACCCATTGATCACCGAGTTCCTGCGCCGCACCGGGCTTGCACCCACTCAAGTGTCCACCAACACCTACCGAATAATAAACGGTGTGCATGAACTTAACAACCGGCTAGGCACAAACTTAGGCTTAGCCGAGATATTGCAGCAGTACACTCTTGGGCACACCGGCGATGGTCTTGCCTATTACCTTAAGATTAGGCCCGGCAAAGAAAAAATAGTGACCGGTTCACCGGACAAAGACCTGCACGATGACAATTTCTTCTGGGTGACTGGTAATTATGAAACAGCCGAGGTACCGGGCTGGTTCATAAGCAAGAACTTCGGTTCCACATGTAAGCCGATCTGCTTCTACTCGGTCAATTGTTCCTCTACATTATTCTGTACTTAACCAGTTTTCTTGTTTCTCCTGCAGCTATTCAAGCCTTGCAAACCAACTACCAATACCCCAACGCTGAAGCCATCTGCACCGTGCTCCATTACAACCACCGGGATTACAACGAGTTGCTCGGCTACACGCCAACCTACAGATACTCAGCACCACGTCGGAGTAAAGTAACAAACTTTCTCCGTGCTCCATCACCTCCTCTAGACCCAACTCTACTGGACGTGCCCCTAATCCGGTTAACCGAGGCGGAAGAGATGGCAAAGAGAAGTCGCATCAGGAACCTCCTTACCGCAACTTCCGCCGAGATACCGAGTGTCATCACCCGCTCTCCAGCCACCGGTCAATCAAGCGGCACCGTGGTGGCGTTGGCTTCTCCAGCCGCCGGTCAAGCCTGCCAAGAAGCCTATCGAGCTGGGAAAAGGCCTCGCGCAGATCCTACTGCCGAGCTGGTTGAAGAGCTAACCACCGAGCAACCCACCGTCACCGTGGATCCAACGCCGGCATGGCGACCGCAGCTCAAGCACCGGGGCAAGGAGATCCCGGCAACGGCCTCCGTAAAAGGAGACAAAGAACATCTTCTTGCCTTTGACCTCTCTAAAGCCCGCGACGTGGTCGGAAGCGACCATGTTCCAGACACCCAGCTGGTGAAGTCGGCCGTGAAGTCTATGACCAGGGTATGAGTCTCAAACTTCCACTCAAATTTTCACAAGTGTTTACACAGTTTCCATGCTGATCCAATTTCCTTCTTGCAGGCCATCCAGAAATAACACTTGGTCATGGAGCGCATCCATAGACTGCGGCAAAAGGCAAACGACACTGCCAGCCAAGTCTAAAACCTTCAGACCGAGCTCGGCCGAGCAAACTCCTCACTTCAAATCGCCAATGCTGACAACAACAGGTTGCTCGCCCAGCTTGACGAAGCTGAGAAGAAGAGGGATAAGCTCCAGGCCGAGTTGGACGAGCTCAAAAAGTCCAGGGAGAAAGAATGTGAAGACGCCAATAACGTCGGTTTTAAAAAGGCAGAAGACAGCTATAAAAAACAAGTCTTTGCCACCCAGGACATCTATTTCAAAGCTGGATGGAAGGCTGCCTGTCAACAGCTCGGTCAAGGTCCTGACACCGACGTGTTTGCCTCTCCACCGACTATCTTCTTACCGACCTACCTCATACCATATGCCAACGACGTCTTCAGCGCGTTGCAGGCTGAGGCCGAGGAAGAGCTTGCTAAAGAAACCGAGGTCAAGGCTGAGGAGGGAAGCGGCCAGGAGCAGCCCGGAGAAACTGCGGTCGGTGTGTAAGAGTGAGCTACGGTCGACCTGGAAGCAGCTGATGACGAGTTCTCCAATCTTTCCCCCCTAGTGTAGTTCTCTTTTTCTTTCATTGTTCTTTGCATATGTAACCGGGCTCTCTGCCCCTCCTTTTGTACTACTTTACATCAATGAAAAAGCTTTAATTTCATCAACTGTCAGCACGGTTTTTTTTCCAACTCTACCTTCAACAAAACATCTCGGTTTAAATTACAAAGTTGAACAAATCACCAATTTCTTTAACCGGAATAACCATGGCGGTTGGAAATAACTAGGTTGAACAAATCATCACCTCATTCAACCGGAACGATCCGTCTCGGTTGGGAATCTTCAAAGTTGAACAAGTCTTCAACTCTTCCAACCGGAGTAAATCATCTCGGTTGGGAATCTTCAAAGTTGAACAAGTCATCAACTCTTCCAATCGGAGTAAATCATCTCGGTTGGGAATCCAAAGTTGAACAAGTCATCAACTCTTCCAACCGGAATAAATCATCTCGGTTGGGAATCCTCAAAGTTGAACAAGTCTTCAACTCTTCCAACTAGAGTAAATCATCTCGATTGGGAATCCTCAAAGTTGAACAAGTCTTCAACTCTTCCAACCGGAGTAAACCATCTCGATTGGGAATCCTCAAAGTTGAACAAGTCTTCAACTCTTCCAATCGGAGTAAATCATCTCGGTTGAGAATTTAAAAAGCAAAGAACAAAATGCTAAAGGCAAAGAAGACACTTCTATATATTGACAAAGAGAATTACATTCTGAAGTGTAAGCCAAAAAATTCCTTTGCACAAAAAGAAGGCTAAAGCTAGAAATAATACAGTTTGAGGTTGGACGCATTCCACGGCCGGGGTATTGTTCTACCATCCAGATCCTCCAAGTGGTGTGCCCCCTTGCCTGCCAGACCGGTTATCTTGTAGGATCTTTCCCAATTTGCCCCTAGCTTGCCTTCTCCTGGCACCAGGGCATTGCCCATGACCTTCCTCAAGACCCAATCACCAACTTTGAATGGTCTGGGGTGCACCGTCTTGTTGTATTTCCTGGAAAGTTCTTGTTGATAGGCCGCCACGTGGATGAGAGCCTTTTCCCGTCGCTCTCCACTAGGTCCAGTTCCAGGGCAATGGCCTCGGCGTTCAGCTCGGGCTCAAAACTTTCGCTTCTGAGTGTAGGCATGCCAACTTCCAAAGGTATGACCGCCTCCATGCCATAAGC